TAGCTTATCTAAAGTGATGACTCTCCTTACAATAACAGGTTTCAGAGTAACAGCCGTGTTAGTCTGTATTCGCAAAAAGAAAAGGAGTACTTGTGGCACCTTAGAGACTAACCAATTTATTTGAGCATGAGCTTTCGTGAGCTACAGCTCACTTAATCGGATGCATACCGTGGAAACTGCAGCAGACTTTATATATACACAGAGAATATGAAACAATACCTCCTCCCACCCCACTGTCCTGCTGGTAATAGCTTATCTAAAGTGATCATCAGGTTGGGCCATTTCCAGCACAAATCCAGGTTTTCTCACCCTCCACTCCCCCACACAAATTCACTCTCCTGCTGGTGATAACCCATCCAAAGTGACAACTCTTTACACAATGTGCATGATAATCAAGTTGGGCCATTTCCTGCACAAATCCAGGTTTTCTCACATCCCCCCCCACCCCCATACACACACAAACTCACTCTCCTGCTGGTAATAGCTCATCCAAACTGACCACTCTCCAAGTTTAAATCCAAGTTAAACCAGAACATCTGGGGGGGGGGTAGGAAAAAACAAGAGGAAATAGGCTACCTTGCATAATGACTTAGCCACTCCCAGTCTCTATTTAAGCCTAAATTAATAGTATTCAATTTGCAAATGAATTCCAATTCAGCAGTTTCTCGCTGGAGTCTGGATTTGAAGTTTTTTTGTTTTAAGATAGCGACCTTCATGTCTGTGATTGCGTGACCAGAGAGATTGAAGTGTTCTCCGACTGGTTTATGAATGTTATAATTCTTGACATCTGATTTGTGTCCATTTATTCTTTTACGTAGAGACTGTCCAGTTTGACCAATGTAAATGGCAGAGGGGCATTGCTGGCACATGATGGCAAATATCACATTGGTGGATGTGCAGGTGAACGAGCCTCTGATAGTGTGGCTGATGTTATTAGGCCCTGTGATGGTGTCCCCTGAATAGATATGTGGGCACAGTTAGCAACGGGCTTTGTTGCAAGGATAAGTTCCTGGGTTAGTGGTTCTGTTGTGTGGTATGTGGTTGTTGGTGAGTATTTGCTTCAGGTTGCGGGGCTGTCTGTAGGCAAGGACTGGCCTGTCTCCCAAGATTTGTGAGAGTCAGATGTCAAGAATTATAACATTCATAAACCAGTCAGAGAACACTTCAATCTCTCTGGTCACGCAATCACAGACATGAAGGTCGCTATCTTAAAACAAAAAAACTTCAAATCCAGACTCCAGCGAGAAACTGCTGAATTGGAATTCATTTGCAAATTGGATACTATTAATTTAGGCTTAAATAGAGACTGGGAGTGGCTATTTCCTCTTGTTTTTTCCTACCCCCCCCCCCCCCCAGATGTTCTGGTTTAACTTGGATTTAAACTTGGAGAGTGGTCAGTTTAGATGAGCTATTACCAGCAGGAGAGCGAGTTTGTGTGTGGGGGAGTGGAGGGTGAGAAAACCTGGATTTGTGCAGGAAATGGCCCAACTTGATGATCACTTTAGATAAGCTATTACCAGCAGGACAGTGGGGTGGGAGGAGGTATTGTTTCATATTCTCTGTGTGTATATAATGTCTTCTGCAGTTTCCACGGTATGCATCCGATGAAGTGAGCTGTAGCTCACGAAAGCTCATGCTCAAATAAATTGGTTAGTCTCTAAGGTGCCACAAGTACTCCTTTTCTTTTTGCGAATACAGACTAACACGGCTGTTACTCTGAAATCTATAAGTAACACTGATAAACCTAAATTTGATTTTGAAAATTCTTCAATCTTAAATGTTAAAATGTACCGGAAGTTAGAAATACTAGATTGTGTTTTTTTTTTTTTTTAAATCTGTCAGTGAATCCACACACACACATCTTGTTGTTTTATCCTTTTACTACCATATGGTTCCAGAAACAAAAGATCTTTTTCCTTGATTTTGATTAAAACTAAAGAAGCAGAAAGTCCATCTCCCTTTAGCAAACATTGATGTTTGGGAAGCAAGTGTCTTAGTTCTATGATTTCTTAAATTTTCAAAATATCTGCTGAACAGCACTAATTTTATGTCACTTAAAAATTTTAAACATCTTAAATGCTGTCATTTTGAGGGCAGTGTTCTAAAAGGTATTTATAACTTTTATTAGTAAACACAATGTACTGTACACTCAGTGCAAAATCAGAGGTCAGCAGCACTCAGAACTCTGCCGGATGCATAGCTAATGGGGTAGATATTCTCCACATGTGCTGGAACCATAAAAACATGCATAATATCTGGGACTGCAAGTCAAGAAAAACTGAAGGCTTATTAGGCATTCAGATACTGACCACACCTATATGGCTTCAATTTATACCTCTGAATTATTAAATGTTTCCAAAACAAATAGAATCATAGAATATCAGGGTTGGAAGGGACCTCAGGAGGTCATCTAGTCCAACCCCCTGCTCAAGGCAGGACCAATCCCCAACTAAATCATCCCAGCCAGGGCTTTGTCAAGCCTGACCTTAAAAACTTCTAAAGAAGGAGATTCCACCACCTCCCTAGGTGACTCATTCCAGTGTTTCACCACCCTCCTAGTGAAAGTTTTTCCTAATATCCAACCTAAACCGCCCCCACTGCAACTTGAGACCATTACTCCTTGTTCTGTCATCTGCTACCACTGAGAACAGTCTAGATCCACCCGCTTTGGAACCCCCTCTCAGGTAGTTGAAAGCAGCTATCAAATCCCCCCTCATTCTTCTTTTCCGCAGACTAAACAATCCCAGTTCCCGCAGCCTCTCCTCATAAGTCATGTGTTCCAGGCCCCTAATCATTTTTGTTGCCCTCCGCTGGACTCTTTCCAATTTTTCCACATCCTTCTTGTAGTGTGGGGCCCAAAACTGGATACACTACTCCAGATGAGGCCTCACCAATGTCGAATAGAGGGGAACGATCACGTCCCTCGATCTGCTGGCAATGCCCCTACTTATACATCCCAAAATGCCATTGGCCTTCTTGGCAAAAAGGGCACACTGTTGACTCATATCCAGCTTCTCGTCCACTGTAACCCCTAGGTCCTTTTCTGCAGAAGTGCTGCCTAGCCATTTGGTCCCTAGTCTGTAGCGGTGCATGGGATTCTTCCGTCCTAAGTACAGGACTCTGCACTTGTCCTTGTTGAACCTCATCAGATTTCTTTTGGCCCAATCCTCTAATTTGTCTAGGTCCCTCTGTGTCCTATCACTACCCTCCAGTGTATCTACCTCTCCTCCCAGTATAGTGTCATCTGCAAACTTGCTGAGGATACTGTCTACATCATCCTCCAGATCATTTATGAAGATATTGAACAAAATCAGCCTGAGGACCGACCCTTGGGGCACTCCACTTGATACTGGCTGCCAACTAGACATGGAGCCATTGATCACTACCTATTGAGCCTGACGATCTAGCCAACTTTCTATTCACCTTATAGTCCATTCATCTAGCCCATACTTCTTTAACTTGCTGGCAAGAATTACTGTGGGAGACTGTAAAAAGCTTTGCTAAAGTCAAGGAACAACATGTCCACTGCTTTTCCCTCATCCACAGAGCCAGTTATCTCGTCGTAGAAGGCAATTAATTAGTCAGGCATGACTTGCCCTTAGTGAATCCATGCTGACTGTTCCTGATCACTTTCCTCTCCTCTAAGTGCTTCAGAATTGATTCCTTGAGGACCTGCTCCATGATTTTTCCAGGGACTGAGGTGAGGCTGACTGGCCTGTAGTTCCCCAAATCCTCCTCCTTCCCTTTTTTAAAGATGGGCACTACATTAGCCTTTTTCCAGTTGTCTGGGACTTCCCCCCAATCACCATGAGTTCTCAAAGATAATGACCAATGGCTCTGCAATCACATCCGCCAACTCCTTTAGCACTCTTGGATGCAGCGCATCCGACCCCATGGACTTGTGCTCGTCCAGCTTTTCTAATTAGTCCCGAACCACTTCTTTCTCCACAGAGGGCTGGTCGCCTCCTCCCCATGCTGTACTGCCCAGTGCAGTAGTCTCGGAGCCGTCCTTGTTCGTGAAGACAGAGGCAAAAAAAGCATTGAGTACATTAGCTTTTTCCCCATCCTCTGGCACTGGGTTGCCTCCCTCATTCAGTAAGGGGCCCACACTTTCCTTAATAAAATGTAAATAACCAGCCAAGATAACAATATTGAGAGAGGAATCACAGTACAATAAATCAGAATAGCTGCCAAGTATAACTAATTCAGTGAGGGCTTAAAAAAAAAAATTATATAAATTGCAAAACATAATGGATTCCTCTGAGAACATGTGGCAATTCTTTGGCCCTTGGGCTGCAGTGGGTCACCTAATGGGACTACTCACCTGAGTAAAGTTAAACACATGTATAAACCTTTGCAAGGTTGGGGCCTTATTTAGCTATGATCAGAAAACGATAATCATTTTAACAAAGTCTGCTTTGCTTGAATTGGTGGCAGTGATGCAATGGTGGCAGCTTGATGATGACAACAGGGCTATTATTATCAACTATTATTTGATTAAAATTCAAGTCTGGGGAGACAAAGAATTGTTTGGCCAAAGAATTCCTAATGGGTGCCGCCGACTGGATAATTTCAGGGACGCGATCAGGCTACGGGGCGCCACGCTTCTTTGCATGCTTTAGCGGGCACCGTGACAACCTCTGGGATTGTGGCCCCCGGGGGGAGGCTGGCCCCGGGGGAGCGCAGGCCCGCACCGCAGGCAGCCAGCAGCCAGAAGCAACCCTGCCACGGAGCCCGTTCAGACGGTGCCCGGGGGGGGGGGGGGGCTGTGGGGCGGGACAGGGGCCTTGACACCTTCCCGGGGCTACGGGCGGGGTTAACCCCCCCTCCGTCCCACAGAGCGGCGGGGGGTGGGAGGGGCCCGGCCCGGCCCCGCGCGCGGGGCAGATGATGGCGGGGGTGGCGCGTGCGGAACGGGGGTTCCAGCCCCACGAGGCAAGGGCGGGGGAAGGGAGCGCAGAGGGGGCCCCCCCCGGGTGTGGTTGGGGGGCGGGGTCGCTCTATCCCTCCGCCGGGGTCTCGGTGGTGGGAGGCGGCCGCTCTGCCGTCGTCTCTATGGTCGGCGGCACGGGATGCGGGCTGGTACTGGCACCGCGGCGGAGGCAGGTGAGGAGCGGCCCGGTCCCCCGCCCCCAGGGGATCTGAGGCGGTAGCCGGGGGCGGGGGGACGGTCACAGTCCCGGAGCTTCCCAGAACCGGCCCGGCTGGGGACTGGGCCCGTCACGGGTCGCCGCCCCGTGGCCCGGCTCCAAGGAGCGACCTAGCGGGGCGGCGGGGGGGGGGGCAGTAATACCGGCCCCCTCTCGGCAACGCCGCTCCCGCCCCATGCCGCCCTTGCACGGGCCAAGCACGTAAAAGCTCCCGGAGCCGGGGCCGAAGCTCCAGCGCGAGGCCCGTTGCCGGCCGCGCTCCCTCGCGCGAGCGGCTGCGGTAACGAGCCCGCGCCCGCGCCCCGCTGTGCGCGCTGGCAGCTGCGGCGTGCCTGCGAAGCCCTGTTTGCGTCGCTCTGGATTTCTAGCGTGGAAATGGAGAGGCGCCTCTCTGGGCACCTGCTTGGGAGTTGTGAAGTAGTTTGGGGCTTAGCGCCACCCCCCACCCCCCGGGGTGTGTGTGTGTGCGTGTGTACTGGGATCAGCCCCAGCTGTGAATTTGCGGTGGCTTTGCATTGCGGTGTCTCATCAGGAGTTTGGGGTGTGAAGTGAGTGGGCTGTCAGTCTGACTTCAGAAAAGCGAGGGGGTGTGTATTTAGAGGAAGCTGTCGCCTCAGATTTGGCGCAGAGTTTAGACTCTCTGAAAACTAAGTTCCTTCAAAACCCAAGAATAGTATAAATCAGTGATGCTCAGACCTCAGTGGTTCAGAAGCCAAATTAGCCATCAACATTACACTATGGCTCTTTTGGGTGACTTCATTGTTTCATTTACTGTAGTATTATTCATATTTAAACACAAGGGAAATCTTTATATATAAAATTATTCTCACAGTATATAAGTTAGTAACTGAGTGCAAGCTGATAATATAATTGGTTAAGAACATAATAAAAGCATTGGTTAACAACATAATAAAAGCATAATAAAAGCATTATTGGCTGGTTAATAATTAAATCACATAGTGTTTTAATATCATGTTCTGCAGAGAGCGCCAGGAGACACATTAAAGAGCCATTTGTGGCTTGTGAGCCGTAGTCTGAATATCACTGGTATAAATGTTTCTATGAATTAAAGAAAGAATTCCCATGGAGACAAATAAGCAATCCACTGCAATATATGTGTAAGGACAACTCATATATAGTGCAGCAATGGGAAAAGGAAATCAACTATAAACAAAAGAGAAATGGTCTTCACTGATATTTCCTTGTCTTGGGAGAAATGCAAAAAGTAAAGCAACAACATAACAATGACAAGTAAATGTACCCTTTAAAATTATTCTACTATGAAGTTATTGGCAAAATAGGAGGGAAATTTGCTTACTAATGATTAACATTTGAATGGTTAGGATATTCAAAGCACTTTACTAGCATTAGCCCTTATACTGTGGTTGGGTAAGTCTAAGTCAGGGATTGGCAACCTTTAGCCTGCAGTCCACCAAGGTAAGCCCCCTGGTGGGCTGGGCCGGGCCGATTTGTTTACCTGCCGCGTCCACAGGTTCAGTCGATTGCAGCTCTCACTGGCCGCGGTTCGCCACTCCAGGCCAATGGGGCGAACCGCCGCCAGTGGGAGCTGCGATCGGCTGAACCTGCGGACATGGAAGTGTTATTTACCCCTTCGTATAACATAATTTCATTGGGTGAGCCCTGTTCCTTAATAGGCAGCAGGTTTAAAACAAAGAAAAGGAAGTACTTCAGACAAAACACAGTCAGCCAGGGAATTTTGTGAAGGCCAGGGGCGTAACTGGGTTAAAAAAAGAATTAGAAAAATTCATGGAGGATAGTTCCATTGATTGCTATTAGCCACAATGGTCAGGGACACAATCCCATTCTCTGGGTGTCCCTAAGCCTCTGACTGCCAGATGCTGGGACTGAGTGAAAGGGGTTGGATCACTCAGTAAATGCCCTGTTCTGTTCATTCCTTCTGACGCATCTGGCACTGACCACTGTTAAAAGACAGGATACTTGGCTAGATGGACCCTTGGTGTGACCCATATTAGGAGCATTCTTATGGGTTGCTGACTGGGGAAATGCCTTGAGAGCCTTGCCTGCCCAGGCCCTTTCAGAAAGAAGAAGGATTGGTACTTTTCCCTTCTCTGTTTTTCTCTTTGGTTTCCTGAAGGCTTAGGACTGACTTTCGAGGGCTATGGAAGCATATAGACTGTTTGGACTACTTTAGCTTCCCCAGTAAGGGGGCCAGACGTCCTGAATAGCACCGTGGGAGGGCTCTGACCTAGAATCTGAGGCTGTAGCAGTATCCACCCTCTCCCCAAGGAAGATGCTAGAGAGGTATAGCCTATTATAGTGACCTATGGGGAAAGGTTAAAAAAACTGGTCTTGTTTAGTCTTGAGAAAAGAAGATTGAGGGGTGACCTGCTAAGTCTTCAAATATTAAGAGCTGTTATAAAGAAGACGATAATCAGTTGTTCTCCATGTCTGAGGAAGGTAGGACAAGAATTAATGGGCTTAATCTCTGGTAAGGGAGATTTAGGTTAGACATTAGGAAAATTGTTTTAACGCTAGGGGTAGTTAAGCTCTTTACTAGGTTTCCAAGGGAGGTTGTGGAATCTACATCACTGGAGGTTTTTAAAGACATGTTGGAGAAATACCTGCCAGGGACAGTCTAGGTTAACTTGATCCTTCCTCAGCACAAGGGGATGAGGGATGGACTAGATGATCTCTTAGGGTTGGAAGGGACCTTATCTTTCTATGATAAGAAGAAAAACCACCTGCACATCTACCAATGTGATATATGCCATCATGTGCCAGCAGTGCCCCTCTGCCATGTACATTGGTCAAACTGGACAGTCTCTACGTAAAAGAATAAATGGACACAAATCAGATGTCAAGAATTATAACATTCAAAAACCAGTTGGAGAGCACTTCAATCTCTTTGGTCACTCGATTACAGACCTAAAAGTTGCAATTCTTCAACAAAAAAACTTCAAAACCAGACTCCAACGAGAGATTGCTGAATTGGAATTAATTTGCAAACTGGATACAATTAACTTAGGCTTGAATAGAGACTGGGAGTGGAAGTGTCATTACACAAAGTAAAACTATTTCCCCATGTTTATTCCCCCCGACCCTCCACTGTTCCTCAGACGTTCTTGTCAACTGCTGGAAATGGCCCACCTTGATTATCACTACAAAAGGTTCCCCCCCTCCCACTCTCCTGCTGGTAACAGCTCACCTTAAGTGATCACTCTTGTTACAGTGTGTATGGTAACACCCATTTTTTCATGTTCTGTGTGTATATAAATCTCCCCACTGTATTTTCCACTGAATTTATCCGATGAAGTGAGCTGAAGTTCATGAAAGCTTATGCTCAAATAAATTGGTTAGTCTCTAAGGTGCCACAAGTACTCCTTTTCTTTTTGCGAATACAGACTAGCACGGCTGCTACTCTGAAACCTCACAATATAAATGTCAGAGATCCAGGAAATGTACAGTTAAGGTGGTGATTCTCACAAAACACAGCCACACAACCTTGACTTTGACATCTTTGATGTCTGCCTGAGGTGTCTCTTAGGGATGTCCCAGTACATTACTCCTTCCTAAGGGTATGTCTACACTACGAAATTAGGTTGAATTTATAGAAGTCAAATTTTTAGAAAGTGATTTTATATAGTCGATTGTGTATGTCCCCACCTAAAACCATTAAGACCATTAAGTCGGCGGAGTGCATCCACAGTACCAAGGCTAGCGTTGACTTCTGGAGTGTTGCACTGTGGGTAGCTATCCCACAGTTCCCGCAGTCTCCTCCGCCCATTGGAATTCTGGGTTGAGATCCCAATGCCTGATGGGGCAAAAAACATTGTCGTGGGAGGTTCTGGGTATATGTCGTCAGGCCCCCATTCCCTTCCTCCCTCTATGAAAGCAATGGCAGACAATCATTTTGCGCCTTTTTTCATGGGTTACCCGTGCAGATGCCATACCACAGCAAGCATAGAGCCCGCTCAGCTCACTGTCACCGTACATCTCCTGGGTGCTGGCAGACATGGGACTGCATTGCTACACAGCAGCAGCTCATTGCTTTGTGGCAGCAGATAGTGCAGTATGACTGGTAGCCATCCTTGTTATCTCCTGGGTGCCCTGGCCGGCCTTGATCAGGTTGGTCGGGGCGCCTGGGCAGACATGGGTGTTCCTGGCAGATCTCGGTGAGGTCTGTCGGGGGTGCCTGCACATAAATGGGAGTGACTCAGGTCATTCTCTTCTTTAAGTTTTGTCTAATGAAGATTCAGTCCTGCGTGGAATATTGGCAGAGGGATAGCTCTCCCATCCAACAGCACTGTCTGCTGCCAGTCTACCCCTCCCTCCCTCCGTGAAAGCAACGGCCAACAATCATTTCATGCCTTTTTCCGTGCGGATGCCATATTGCTGTCAGCATCGTCATCCACCCGCCGCTTCCGCTGCCACTTTGCTCTCTTGCTCACACCATACCACGGCAAGCATGGAGCTCGCTCAGATCACCGCAGCAGTTGTGACCGCTCTAAACACCACGCGCATTATCATGCGGTATATGCAGAACCAGAACCTGCACAAGCAGGCGAGGAGGCGATGGCAGCGCGGTGAGGAGAGTGATAAGGACATGGACACTGACTTCTCTCAAAGTATGATACCCAATGGCTGCGAAACTTTTGTATGCGTAAGGGCAGTTTCATGGAACTTTGTGACTTGCTTTCCCCTGCCCTGAAGCGCCAGAATACCAAGATGAGAGCAGCCCTCACAGTTCACAAGCGAGTGGCGATAGCCCTCTGGAAGCTTGCAACGCCAGACAGCTACCGGTCAGTCGGGAATCAATTTGGAGTGGGCAGATCTACTGTGGGGGCTGCTGTGATGCAAGTAGCCAACGCGATCACTGACCTGCTGCTATCAAGGGTAGTGACTCCGGGAAATGTGCAGGTCATAGTGGATGGCTTTGCTGCAGTGGGATTCCCTAACGGTGGTGGGGCCATAGAC